CTATGTTTTTGTCTTTTAAATTACAATGATCTCATACCATGAGAACCTAACGGGTTACCGGGGCTCCGGCTCGACGTGCAGGAGAAGGAACGGGGTGGTTTTTAGTCAGTCAGACTCTGACACTCCCTCCCGCCTCACCCAGGCGGGAGCAGTCATTCGATGATTTTCCCCCTTAAAAAATACCATCACTATGTCGTCATTTCGTAATGTATCTAGTTAAATTTTTCAATACAAAAAAAAGTTTTCTCAAGCAGAATTATAAATTAAAGTAATTCATATGCTATTTGAATCATTGAGGTGAATACACTTCGCTTGAACTAGAAGATACTTAAGTACCTAAGTGTTATAAAATAGATTTATACCTCTTTTATAGGGCAACATGTAGAGCATTACCTTTTACAAAGCAACTAAAATTATGTCAAACTATGTAATTTATTATTTCAAGCACTTTAATGCTTTGTGGTTTATTGTCTCTATTGTAAATCATTTTCGCAGTTAAAGGAAACCTATTTGCACGAAACTATTAAGGATGTTTTGCAATAGAACTGGCGCTTGCAATATTTATGGCTGACCCCTAAAATAGAATGTATTTTTAAGTATTTTATATAACGATACGAATCATTCTTCATTGAAAATGCTAGAAAATTATTACAATTACTATATACTATATTGAATTTTGTGTTCTAAAATCATTTATTGATTTTATATTTATTACTTCGGATATTTTTAAATGAGTGAGATGTCGTGGTGGCCCGGAGGTAGACGCCTGCTTCTCATGTACTTACCAATGTGACTTTTTACGAGTTATATGGACTTTCTAAGATTATTTAGACACCACTGACAAACGGTGAAAGAAAATATCGTGAGGAAACCTAAGCTTATAATTTCTATTTAAAATACTTAAACGTTTTCCGCGCGAGAAGGGGCTTTGGGTCAGCAGTGACTACTTATAGATATTTTCAAAATTGAACTCTGAGTTAATAATTGAAATCGAGACAAGCAGGATATTAAATGATCGAGTGTCCCTTTGCAATTTTGCACCGCTTCATACTACGCAAGAGTTTCTGACAATACAACTACGCATTTCTCACGCGCGATGACTCATAGGCATGGCCATAATTTATAACACTTTCTTGTTTACTTTGAGTACGATTTTAGAGAAGAGAAATTGTGTTTTTAATTTTATTGTACTTAGTTTGTAATATTTCACATTTATATTCTATTGTAACTTCTTCAAAACATTCGTTTCCACCATTTAGGCTTGACTTTAGAATGACTGCCTCGATGGCCGAGTGGTCGCAATTGCGACTGCCGGGTAAGGGTCTCGGGTTCGATTCCCGGGTCGAGCAAAGTATTACTGGGTTTTTAAAAAAAAATCTCAGTAGTAGCACGGAGTCTGGAACTGTGCAATAGGCTCACCCCCTATTAAATGGGACTCATAACATAAATAGTGAAAAGTGGGTGTTACATTGTACAGTGGTATAATGTGCACCTCTGCCTACTCCTTCGAGGATAAAAGGCGTGATGTTATGTTATGTTATGTTTAGAATGTATTTTCGTCCATAAATCCACAGGCAAGTTTCGAAATGTCCGTTTCACTAAAATATTTTTATACGTTGCTCTCCTCCCTATTTAGCATCCAGTTAAGGAATGGTGTCCCACTTTTTATAGTTCCGATTCAAGAGTATTGCTCCACAGATTTTGCAACTTTATTGGATTTAACACGAGAATCAGTTAGGCAGATACGTGTGACTCCATTCGACATTGAGCAAGAGCTTAGAATTAGATTTAAAAGAAAAATATTTAAAATCATCTATCTATGTATACTATAATATTATTAAGCTGAAGAGTTTGTTTTTTTGTTTGAACGCGCTAATCTCCGAAACTACTGATTCGAATTGAAGAATTATTTTTGTGTTGGACAGTCCATTTACTGAGGAAGGCAATAGGAGCCGAGTAGAGCGGTTGAAACCGCGCGCAAGTAGCTAGTATTGAAATAAAACGGGTTATCTTTTTGGATGACGTCAAGATTCAGCAATATTTTGAATAGTGGAGGATTGTTTAATGCTTTTTGAGTAAAGGAAATAAATATATATGCATTGTAACGAAACAATCGTCAGTACCTACGACCTGAAATTACATTTTCCGGCGTTCTAGTGCACTTTAAAGTAATTGTATTTTAATTACCAAGGACTTGTTTCGAATATTTTTAATTCTACTGAATATTTATTTAGCACTGTTTCTTGTCAAATTAATGTCTGTTGTTACTGTCAGTTTCCATTGTATAGTTCAATATTTAAATGTAACAGAGTCTAATTTAACAAAGGTTAGAAGGCCCACTTCCGCAGTACCTTCGAACAATTTCCAATGTATTCTGTACACGTACAAATGGAAAGATACAAGTATTACGTGTTTTTGAGTCTTCTTCCTTAATCTAGTACCAACATTAACACTCTTGATTAGCTGTATTGATCATAGATAAAAAATAACCGGTTTGGGAAATAACAGTTACGGCTATATGATTTTGAAAAAATTTTGATGATAACCGGTTCTTTTCAGACCGTTTCGATTTTTTGCAACAGGTTTTATAAATAGACAGATAATCATGCATTTCGGTAAGCAAAGAGGGGTCAATGTAACAGCGAAAAATAAACAAAATATTAGGCCTGATTTTAGATAACACTAACTGAAGGATGGCATAAGCCGGTAAACGAGCAGACGGATCACCTGATGGTAAGCAGTCGGCATCGCCCATTAATACCTGGAACACCAGAGGCGTTATAAGTGCGTTACCGGCTTTTTGGGGATTAAGAGCTTAAGGATCGTTGGGGATTCAGGGATTGGGGAGATTGGGTAAGGGGAGGGTAATTGGGCCTTCGGTAACCTCACTCACACGACGAAACACAACGCAAGCGTTGCTTCACGTCGGTTTTGTGTGAGGCCGTGGTATCACTCCGGTTGAGTCGGTCTAATCGTGCCGAAGCATGACTCTCCCACACTTTAACTAATGAAGTATTTAATGTTATAGAATAAAAACTTAAACTCTGCTCCATTAAGTCATCGATCAAAGTCCTGCGAACTATGACCAGCAGTAACATATAAATAAAGAAATTATTCTTATCAGTAACAAGTTAATAACAAAAGGAACACTGAGTTATTGTTATAACACAAATAGTTATTCAGATTTAAATGGCAGCTGCTTTAATCACATCAGTAATTAGCAATAAGTCAATAAAATCATAATTATTTATTTTATAAAAGAGATATGCACCGACGTACGTAGTGGCGTCATAGTCCATATTGAGAAATGACAAGTTATCATAATGTTTATGTCTGCAAAGATTTTATAGTTCTTTCTTTATGGGTACTTCTGCATTTGTACCACGCGTAAGAATATTGATCGGTCTAAGGGTTCATTCACTTCTGTAAGTTTGCTGTGCATGTATATATTGTAGATTTGTATGTGTGTAAGTGTGGACAATAGACATGCACTTGCAATTTAAAATCTATGCGCCATTTAGTCTTATGTGTGTCGCGCGGTGACATTTCCGCGCGGTAGTCCGGGCTAACCGGCTAGACCCAAGCGCCCAAGTTAATCTTGTCATCTTGTCATCTTATGGGAGCAGGTCTTTCGGTACCTGTTCTAACTTCTAGAACATTCGTCGTCTTTCGTCGTCGAAGGCGGTTTGTAAACAAAATTTCTTACAAAACGCGTGTTTTACAAGTTTAGCAATATGTCTGGCTGTCTCGCTATTACAACTGTTCTGCGAATGTTCGTCTTTGGAATGACATAATTTCGATAACAAATGAAACAGTTAGTTTGTAATTTACTATTTTAGAGTCAGTTTCAATAAAGTGCTAAGAATTAATAAATAAATCCTATGACAACTTGTACTACATACATAGTGTGTAGTGAAGGGATATTTTTTGGACATATCTTTTGTAACTTTTAACCTTGAGACTATCAACTCTCGTCCGCAGTTAAGTAATACAAGTCGACTTTCGTAAATGGATGAAATTGACTCGGAATTGAAATGTGGAGATAGAAAAAAAAAACCGTATTATTTCGTCTTCCTTCAAAGTGAGTTTAAAATGAAAGTATGTAAGTACATGCTATGTTTATTGAAGTATCAATTTCTCTATTAGATAACACAGAAAATATGCATAAAGGTAGATAGTTTACGTATGAAAGTAAGAGTCTATAATAACTACTCTATAGCAAATCGCAAATAATTTCACATTTAATAACAGCTGTTATGTTATGTAATATCAAGTTAAATAAGTTTTCTCTCTGACCGTGCTAGTGTAGTAACGTATATGAGATTTTAGTTCAAGGCGAAGTTTTTGCGTATCTCGATTCAAACGTTTCATAGTTCAATATTGTAATATGTATTGTGAAACTGATAGTGTATGATGACAAAATGTTAAATGCGTGATCTATCTACTTCAGGGCTTCCCAACCTTTTATTGGTCAAGGACCACTTTGCATCATATTCTTCTTTGGTTTTTTTAAGGGGGAAATATCATCGAATGACTTCTCCCGCCTAGGTGAGGCGGGAGAGAGTCAGACTCTGACTAAAAACCACCCCATTCTTACTTCTGCCCTTCGAGCCGGAATTCTTCGGTATTCTTCGTAAGTTAAGGACCACTTTATTATTACTTTTTTCATGTGATCCGGACAAAGATTTTCTCCAGAGTCGTAATGGCTTATTAAAAAAAAAAAGTGATATTTCTATTATTGAAATCAGTTGATTCTCTTCGTTATCTCCTTTGACATAAGTTTCACTTGAGCTTTAACCGTCGTATTTATTGGAAACACAAGACCACATAACATCTGTCTTGTATTTTTTTCAACTTCGCGGACAATATTTCGTCTTCTACGGACCACTAGTGGTCCACGGTTGGGAACCACTGATCTAAACGAACATTTGTTTTGTTTTGTAGGTACATGGTGGATACTTATGTTCACTGCCTTTGTTTTGGTTCCAAACTGAATGATGTCATTCGTAACGAATTCATTGTAAGCCCTTTTATTTATTATTTTATTTAATATGTAAGGCACGCGTTGTTTATATGTTTTTCTTAAATAAATATCCGTATATTTTATCCAATCATAATTTTACGTACCTATTGTTTAGTTTTACATTTAGAACAATATTTTTGTATACACGTGTCGTAAGTAAACATTTGTTTAATTATCGATAAGAGACTAGCAATCTGTGTATTTATTTCTGATAATAAATGTATTCACGTGAAAGTAAGATTGATAAAACTTGTGAATTACCTTATAATATGTTCCAGTTATTGATTAATTTATTACTGAGTACCTTTTTTTTTAATCATTTTACTTCATAAGATTATTGCATTTACCTTTTACCTGCAGTTATCCAGTTAGACATGCTTTTGCCTGGAACTTCGTTCGTGTAGATATCAGTAGAATTTCACACGGAATGCGCGCTAGGGAATTATCACAATGAGATACATATATTTGTATTTGTATATATACAAATATATCCATACTTTACACTTTACATACGCCCATAGACTGACTAGGTATACATATTTTTTTCTTTAACTTGTTATATAGCAAAAGATATTTAAGTATGTACATAAATGTAATAAATGGCACAATAAGGGCCAAAAGGGCTCTTGGTCAAAGTACAGCGGAATTTTTCGACGATCATTATGAATTTTTGGCGCGCACAATAAAACAATTGTTGTGGATAATAATTTGTTATTGTAATAAAACATGTTTCCTGTTCCCTTTATTTTATTGAAGCGTATTTATTTAATTATCTTGTATTGTACCTCTATAAAAACAATACATTTTAGCACATCTGCCTGATATTATTATATTAATTTATATGAAACAATCTTATTAGCGGTACTGTCAAAATTTTGCGTATTTTTGTTGTACACTACGTATTTTATAAGAATGCATAGAATGAATAGATGTTTATTTTATTGTGTAATAGGCATGTATGAGAAATGAACTTTGACCAAGCAGTGGGAATTTAGCACTTACTATTTAATTTATCCAATTAAGAAATACCGATTGTCTGAATCTATAATTTTTCTCCAATCAAAAGTTACGTAAGAAACGCATAATTTTAAAAAGGTACCTATGTTTTATCTACCTCTATAGTTTGACGGTTACATATATAGACACGTATTAAAATAAGCCAACTTTTGAATTAAAAGCAGGTTGCGAGTGGTATAGGCAGGAGATTTTATTTTTTTAAATGCAGTATTAAGTATCTGTACAGGAAAACTATAAAACTCTTTATTCAAATTAGTTAAATGATAATAAAAATAATTCGCAGAACAAAAAAATACAATAGGTAGATTAATATTTACGAAGGTAGGTACTGTGTTTTAAAAATAGAATTATGAAAACAAAATATTCAAATTACGATTACTTATTAGGATGAAAAGCAATATTTTAAGAAACGAATTAACCGTTCAATAAAGCGTTTTTAAGGTATGATTTGAATTTCGAAACATTTTTTTTTTATTTTCACGATATTGCGTGTCATCCTTGCGCAGGGGGCCATGCTAATCTTCTCTGTTTCGTTTCAATTAATTAAACAAATGAAATCAACATCGAAATATTTAAATAATGATTAATATGAGGGATCAAAATAAAATCATTTCAGTCGACCAAGATTATGCTAATAGCCGTACTTCTCTTATCAAAATTGATTTAAAGTTTATTACTTCTTTTATTTGAAATTAAAACACGGTCGTTTGAGTGCTTTATAGCTACGTTTAATAGCTTGAAATAATAAATAATTGATAATTTTAATGTGGTACGCAAATAATTGTTTTAGATTAGACACTAAGTTGAATTATTGACTGAGTTGTTGGCCGAGTGGTCGCAAGTACGAATGCTGGGGTCACGGGTTCGATTCCCGGGTCAGGCAAAGTACAGTGTACAGTGGCATTAAGTACCGTAATGTGCCTACCCCTTCGAGTGTAAAAGGCGTGATGTAATGTAAGTTGTTTTTTTTTGGTCGAGTCCCTCTTATGTTGGCCATTTAAGTATTACATCCTCTACCTATTTATATACCTAAACATTACTGTTTTTACTGCAAAAACAAAATAACAATCGTATTTAATGCCCACGAGTACCTACCTGTGTAAATTGCACTTTTCGTAATATTGAATCGTAGATTGCAACCGAAGTCTTATTGTGAGCAACTTAAGCAATATTTGTATGGAGTTACTCAAAACCTTCTTGCAACGCTTCGTTGAAGCTTAATGCAATTATACCTTATAAAGTAGTTGATTCAATGATAGACAATACTCAACTTTGATCGCTTGTGAACATGGATTATAAAATGACTATGTATAAATCAAAATGATCCTTGTCTACTTTGAAACTTAATTTCTGTGCACTCCGAAAATATTTGAATAGACTGTATTAGCTTACAATTAAGTATTATTTAGAAATGCTTACGGTAATCTAGACAAAAATATGTGTATTCTGGGCCTTCAGCCAAACGCCACTTTAGCGCTTGTCTACAGAGAGAGTAGAAAACAAAATCTACCTACATATGAGGATGACACTGACAAGTGTCAAAATTTTCGCCAATTCCAAATAATTTGATATTCTATTCTACAAGTAGACAAGTGATAAATGGCATTTGGTGGCTAGGCTAGTTTACCAATAACTAAACTTATAGGTATTCTAGCTTCTGCCAGCGGCTTTGCCCGCGACTAAAAACCGTTTCTACTCCTGCACTTCAAGCCAGAGCCCTGGCAATCCGTTAAGTTCTCCGCGGCTAGGATTAGTAGGGTCTACATCGTCACATTCGTTTCGCGAAATAAAAAAAAAATGGCATGTTATGACATGCGACCATGTTATGACTACGATCAATATAATTAAATTCTATTCATTCAATATTAAAGAATAATAAACACACTGTTATTTATTAAGTTTAGATTTACGAAGTTTTTGTAAAGACGATGAACTTTTTTTAAACGAGTAAATAATATCTACGTCATTATTTATAGTCTATGCCGTTTTATAAAAAGCTTTACAAGTCAAAGTGCAAGTCATTGATTTTTATTATTTACTTATGTATTGTATTATGTCAGTTTTAAATAAATATCTACATTCTTATTTTTATACATCGCATACATTTATTATGTTATTAAAAATAAATTAATCATAAGTATGTCTTAACCGCGTAACCTTTAGTATTCTGAGACAATAAAATAATTAAATTATTGTATAATTGAAAATATAAATAAAGTATGCGCCAATTATTTATTGTTAAAGTGGGTCATTCAGTCATCCTTTTAGAAGTTATATCAAGGAATATATATCTACTGCACAAGTATATGTAAGAAGACTGCCTCATTAGCCGAGTGGTCGCAAGTGCGACTGCCGGGCAAGGGGTCTCGGGTTCAATTCCCGGGCCGGGCAAAGTATTACTGGGTTTTTCAAAAAATTATCAGTAATAGCGCGGAGTCTGGAAATGTGCTCGGTATATGACAAAAGGCTCACCCCCCTATTACGTAGGACTCATAACATAAATAGTGAAAAGCGGGTGTTACAATGTACACCTCTGCCTACCCCTTCGGGGATAAAAGGGGTGATGTTATGTTATGTTATGTTATGATGTAAGAAGATTAATAATGCAATAAATCTGTACACTGTAGACGGGATTCTGGACTCCAAAGTCGAACATTCCTATGAAGTCTTTACTTGGAAATGATGATGGAACAATGAGAGACTGATAAAAACCACCCCTGTATCTTGTTTTACACGTGGCCATGACTCATGAGACTGCATGTGTAGGTATCTACACTATATTTTAGTTTATTTTCTGAGAATTATTGATGCATCCGCGTCATTATACAGGATGATTTCTTATTAGACCATAACCTCGTGTAGGATTGTCCAATAGATCATTTCCGCGGAAATGAACAGTTGTTAAAATATTTAACTTTTAGTGCTAATTTCAAAATGACTCCCACGGTAACTGTAAAACTGAAAAAAACAAAAAAGAAACGCGCTTGACCTAAATATCTTTTTTATTATCCTACTTTATTTGTTTATTTACTAGTTCTAATCATCAAATAAACTACAATAATATTATTTTAGACACAATTATCCCAAATTCATACAACATGAGAATTTTTTTTCAAGTTTGACACTGGAATATGCTTATCTGACACAACATTTACTATGAAACTGGTTGTACATACATTATTTATAAAAAAAAATCACATACCAACTATCTCCTTGTTATGTCGCGGAGGCTCCGGTTCGAAGTGCAGGAGAAGGAACGGGGTGGTTTTTAGTTAGTAAGAGTCTGACACTCCCGCCTCACCCAGGCGGGAGCAGTCATTCTATGATTTTCCCCCCTTAAAAAATAATCCCTTTATTATACAGTAAATGTTGAACATGATCTGTTCTATCTATAACTCAATACGAGATTATGGTCTAAACAAATCACTCTGTATACGTATATTTGTCTATTTTTAATACAATAATCTTTACAAAATGTTATATTAATTAAAATTTATTACTCATAATTTATATTTTGCTGAAGATATACCTAATTTAATTGTGGTTGGTATACCTGTTCACACTAATCTCGGCTTAATATTCATTATAAATACATAATTTGAAAATTCATAAATGCATAAATGGTTTTTCGATGTTTCTAGATGGATCTGCTATTTCACTTTCACTTCCTTGACATGAATAGGTAAGACAAGGACGCATATATTTGTATATTTCAGAATTTATATTAGACGATTTATAAATGTCTAAATTGCTGACTAAGATTGACTAATATTAGGGAGATATGCGTTTTGATTGATTATTATCTCGATAAGTCTGGAATGTGGACATTCCTAGGTACTTATTATAAACATAATATAACATCACGCCTTTTACCCCCGTGGGGTAGGCAGAGGTGCACACTACGGCACTTAATGCAACTGTACACTGTAACACCTTATTAGTCCTTATTAGTCCCTTGTAATAGAGGGTGAGCCTATTGC